CACCATCTTTCCTGCCCCCATCTCCCCTCCATTATGGATCAGCATCCACTTATCAGAGAGAACATTCAGCCTTTGGTTTTGGGGGTTTGGCTTACTTCCCTTAGTACAATATTCTCCATCTCCATCCATTTACCTACAAGTGCCATAATTTTATTCCCTTTTAATGCCGAGTTATATTCCATTGTCTAACACTTTCTTCTGTGATTCTCTTCACTATTTTGTTTACTTGTTTTATGGCTGATTTCATTCATTTTATTAATGACCATTATTAAATTCTTAGTCAAATCTATTCTCCTTAAGAGATTTTCTAATTTAGTTTCTGGCTGATTCTGACTTTTCCTTATTTTCTTTGCCCAGTTCAGACAACTCTAATTTCACATTCACCTATTTTTTGTCCATTTTTGTTGAGGTTATGAATTTATAATTTAGGGGTTTTAATATGTACATATGTATGATTGTTTTCTTAGAGTGTCTTATTCAGGTTACCATAACAAAATACCATAGTATCTAGGTGGTTTGAAAATGACAGAAATTTTTTCCTCACAGTTTTGGAGATTGGGGTGTACAATATCAAGGCACCAGAATATTAGCCATCCAGTAAGGGCCCACTTTTTGGTTGATAGACCACATTCTTACTGCCACTTCCCATGAGGGAAGAGATCTCTGGGGTCTTTTTTAAAATAAAGACATGAATTTCATTAGTGAGGGCTTTCCTCTTAGACCTAATCACCTCTCAAAGGCCCCATCTTATCACATTGGACATTAGGTCTCCACATATGAAGTTTAGGGAACACAAACATTCAGTCTGTAGCACAAGGCAATTCAAGCCAGAGTTTTGGGTTACATTTTTCCCTTTGTAAATTGGTTTATGGGGATTATGTTGGCTTTGTATGGATATTGTCTGTCATTGTCTGTTAATTTAGAAACATCTTTCATACCAGTGTGGTCTCTGGAGCCAGTTCTGAAGGTTGGAATTTTCTTTCCTCACTCACACCAGTTGGAAGCGTGAAATGTCCTGTCTCTTCTTCACGCAGGGGCTGAGGGTATGGGTAGTTACATTAGCTCTCTTGGTTGATCTGTATTGGCTTTTATCATAAAGAGATTTAGACTTAGGTGGCTGCTATTACCCTGGGGAATTAGAAATGTCACCAACCTTATTACTTGCAAAAGCTTCATAAAGTACTGTGTACTCTGTAAAAATTCATCAGTTTTTCACAATTGGAACATTTGCAATATCTTACTGCTCCTATTTTGGTAAACCATAAAAAAGTAAGTTGCAGGGATCGTAGTATCAGCAACATATTGAAATAACCTAGATATCATACTCAAGAAATTAAACATTAATTACAATTTTTTTCTCCTATACAGTTCATATTCAGCTTTTTTTCAGTTGCCCCTGAATGTCCTTTTGGGCCTTATTTTTAAAATGAAGAATCTAATCAGTGGTCAAACATTGTGTTGGCGTGTCATGTCTTTTAAATTCTTTTAATTTGCAATAATCCCTCCATTTTTTCCCCATCTTTCGAAAGCTCTGTATCAGTTTTCTCACATGATCTGGATCTGTTAGACTCTATGAAAAACAATAAAAGTTGTTTCAGGCCAAACTCACTTTAAGATTACCAAATGTGAGACTTGTTTAAAATTATAGAGTGTGTGTGATTACAGGGTGTGATACCAGTGCCTTCCCCTAGCTTGTGTCCCTCTGGGGTAGGTGATATCTATCAGCAAGTGTGGAAAGTGGGTAAGGAGAGGAGAAGTGTTATACCTTCGCCTGAATAGCCACTGGGGAGGGCCTTGGGCCAAAGGCTGTACAAGAATGTTCTGTGATACCTTGGGGATTCTGCCTCAGTATCCCTTCCCACAACTTGAGTGTCCTTCCCAGTCCTCTTCCATATCACTGCATCCTCCCAGGGGACTGCCTCCTATTCCCCCACCTGTGGACCTGACCCTGTAGGTCCAGCTCTGCCTCACTGGGTTTCCCTTTCAGCAAAGGTACCTGCCGTGTTCATAACATGCAAGTCACCCTAAAGGATTCCACGAGCAATTAAATGTGGTAGAAAGCACCCAAGTCACTGCTCTGATCAGAATGTGTACCCCCAAATTCACAGCTGAAGCTCAATCACCAAGATGATGGCATTAAGAGGTAGAGCTTTTAGGAAGTGATTAACTCATGAGGTTGGAACCCTCGTGAAAAAGGTTAGTGAATTTATAAAAGAGGTACAAGGAGTTGTTTGCACCTTCTTCCATGTGAGGAAGCAGCAACAATATACCATCTATGGAGCAGACCGTGAGGCCTCACCAGACATCAAATCTGCTGATCTTGATCTTAGACCTCCTGGCTCCAGAACTCTGGGAAATAAACTTCTATTATATATAAATTGTCCAGCCCAAGCATTTTGTGATAGCCCTAAGGACGGACTAGCACACACCACCTCCTCACTGCTGACTCCTATACTCCCAAGACACTAATGGGGCTAATAATGCCAAGGGTTGGAACAGAGCAGGTATCCACTGTGCATTCATTTCCTTCCCTTCTTGGGGGAGCCAACATGTGTCCCTCATTTTCAGAAATGATAACCTAGGAACCTGACATTCCTCAGCCCAGAAGAGTTCCCTGGGGCCAGAGTCTCCAGAAGGAAGCCCTTTCATGTTCTGCAAAAAGATACTAGTGTCCTATTGACTTCCATGGTTTCCTTAGGGCATTAGTATCCGATACTCAGCTGCCAAGGATGCCCCAAACTACTGAGCCCATTAACTTGGCCAGGAAGAGCCCTGTCAACTTATCTGTGAGAGACCCATGAGTACAGGGTAGGGAGTGCTCAGTTTCACTATTTTTGAATAAAGCTAACACAGGCTCTAGTGTTACCAGATAAAGGCCTTTGCATCCTGCACCAAGGACCATTCTGACTGGCAAATTCCTGCTTTCCATACAATGATATGCTAAAGGCCAAGAAGTAGTGCAACTTCTTGGAATTAGTAAAATAATGCCCCTGCTGAGTAAATATTTACTTGGTTTATTCGTCGTTAGCCAGCTCTCTGGCACTGTGACAAAATACCTTAGAAAGGACCAAAGAGAGTTAGCAGGAGATTGGATATAGGGCTGGCCACAGGGACTCCACCAGTGAGAGGAATCTGCCTTGCCAGGGAAGGTTTGAGGAGAGCCTCACCTGCCTCAGCCTTGGGGCTACACACTTGGTTCTACTTTTTGGGTTGATGTTGGATCTTTGAAAGCCGTAAATTGTTTGGGTCTCATCATCCTGATGTTACTCAGAAATGCTTGTGGTTAAATGTTGCTTTGTAATACACAATAGTTATTATATGTATTATATATATATTTATTTATATATATATATATATTTATAATTTGTATTACACAATAGTTATTATAAGCAGGGTGGGCCAAGTTCTTTATGAACATTATCTCCTGAGACTGGACATAAACAAAACAGAGAACAAACAATAGAGGAAAAACCCTTTGGAAAAGGTGAATAATGTTGATGAACTGTTGCAAGACTGACTAATACAAAGAGAGAGAGCAAGAAACACGAGTGACCAATTTCACAATGAAAAAGGAGACGACATTGCAAATTCCACACACATGAAAAGGAGAGCAAGGGATTTTTATGAAGTCCCAATACATTTGATACTTTAGATAAAATGAACAAATACTTTGAAAGATACAACTTACCAAATTAACATAAGAAGAAATAGAAAACCTGAACAATACTATTTCCATTAAATAAATAGAGTTTATAATTACAAAACTTTCACAGACAGAAAGTCTCATGTCTGAGAGACTTCTCCAGTAGATTCTGTCAAATATTCCAGGAAGAAATACCAGGGAACACTCATTCAGTTAGTAGAAATTCATATGTCTGGCAATAACAAACATGAGAGAAGATGTGAGATAGAAACCCTTGTCATCTTTATGTGGGAGTGTGAGATAGTACAACCAGTTTGCAAAACCACTTTTAGAATTATCTAGTAAAGTCAATACTTGCCACACATCCTGTAAAAAAGCAGCTCCCCATCAGCAATATATGAGTGTACCTTCCCCCCCCACACCCCCCGCATCCTCGCCAACAGTTATTGTTGTTTGTCTTCATAATAGCTGCCATTCTGCCTGGAGTGAGATGAAATCTTAGAGTAGTTTTGATTTGCATTTCTCTAATTGCCAGAGATGATGAGCATTTTTTCATATATTTGTTGACTGATTGTATATCCCCTTCTGAGAAGTGTCTGTTCAGGTCCTTGGCCCATTTATTGCTAAGGTTATTTGTTTTATCGGTGCTTAGCTTTTTGAGTTCTTTATATACCTTAGAGATTAGTGCTCTATCTGATGTGTGAGGGGTAAAGATTTGCTCCCAAGATGTGGGCTCTCAATTCACCTCACAGATTGTTTCTTTTGCAGAGAAGAAACTTTTTAGTTTGAATCCATTCCATTTATTGATTCTTGGTTTTAATTCTTGTGCTATAGGAGTCTTACTAAGGAAGTTGGGGCCTAATCCCACATTATGGAGATTAGGGCCTACTTTTTCTTCTATTAGATGCAGAGTCTCTAGTTTAATTCCTAGGTCTTTGATCCACTTGGAGTTGAGTTTTGTGCATGGTAAGAGATAGGGGTTTAATTTCATTTTGTTGCATATGGATTTCCAGTTTTTCCAGCACCATTTGTTGAAGTAGAAAGCAGTATGGAGATTTCTTGGAAAACTGGGAATGGAACTACTATTTGACCCAGCTATCCCTCTTCTTGGTCTATACTCAAAGGACTTAAAAACAGTATACTACAGGGACACAGCCACATCAATGTTTATAGCAGCACAATTCACAATAGCTAAACTGTGGAACCAACCTAGATGCCTTTCAGTAGATGAATGGATAAAAAAAAGTGGCATATATCACAATGGAATTTTATTCAGCAAAAACAGAGAATAAAATCATGGCATTTGCAGGTAAATGGATGGCATTGGAGAAGATAATGCTAAGTGAAGTTAGCCAATCCCAAAAAACCAAATGCCGAATGTTTTCTCTGATATAAGGAGGCTGACTGATAGTGGGGTAGGGAGGGGGAGCATGAGAAGAACAGACAGAGGGGAGGGAGGGAAAGGGAGGGGGCAGGGGTTAGCAATGATGGTGGAATGTGATGGAAATCATTACCTAAAGTACATGTATGAAGACACAAATTGGTGTTATCATACTTTATATATGACCAGGGATTATGAAAAATTGTGCCATATATGTGTAATAAGAATTGTAATACATTCTGCTGTGATTTATTTTTTTAAAAAAATCAATTAAAATTTTTTAAAAATAAAAGAGTAGTTTCACCCTGGGGTGTTCCTAAGAGAATTTTATGTACATGAGCTCTGGAACTCTGCTCTTGGTAAGAGAAACTGGAACCAACCTAAATTCCATTGGAGGAAAATGGAAAAGGAAATGTGACACACTCACATCATGAACCATCACACCACAGAATCTCAGGGACATCATGAAAGTAAAAGAAAAATGTACACAGGATGATGTCATTTTCATAAAACACAAAAACAAGCAAGCTATATAACATGTTGTTTAGGGATACCTATTTCTGAAATAAAAATGTTTTGCAAATGAGTGTTTTTAAAGTTCCACAAAACAATGATTAAGTATGTGAAATGATGAATATTTTGATTAGTTTGATTTAGCCATTTCACAATATATACCTCTATTGAAACATCTTGTTACTCACCATGAATATATACACTTTTTATTGGTCACTATTATATAAAAGGTATATAATTATACCTTTTAATTTATTAAAAATAAATTTTAAATTGATTCCAGACAATGTGGATTGGGCTGAGGGAGCGGGGAGGAGGGAGGAGGAGGATACAGATAATTAATGGTATTCTAGAGCTTAATTGGCCGCACGGGCTCCAGGTATCTAATTTGTTATCATGCTTCTTGACATATATGCTGCCAGTCTTTTTATGTAGCGAATATTGCATAACAACCATTTTCAACAAGTACAGCCTTTGTCCAAAATGCTTGAGGCAGGAAGTGTTTCTGATTTCTGATTTCTTCAGATTTTGGAATATTTGCACATGTA